CTTTTCCAGAATCCAAGCGACAGATACAATAGCGCTGCACTTGAGGAAGGTGGAAGCAACGCATAGAAAAATGAGTAAATACACAAACCTTTGTTCTAAGGATGTAATCTTTGCTATCAAATTCGTTCGAAGCATTTACCTTTGAGCGGCAGATGACGCGATTGTACTTGTCTCATAGCGTTCGTATGAGAAAATGGAAGAGTTGCCAGTCTTCTTGATTTGTTGTTTTCGCCTAAAGGCTCTCCGCAGAAAGCTACAGGCCGCAGTCTCCTCCGTCCATAGATGGGCGTCTCAATCCGGGTTTATGTTGTCAGCTGCGAAAAGTATTACTTCACACATATGCCGCTTTTCACATCACCTCATACAAGATCCGATCAAATGTGATGGTATTCCCATCCCTTTCCGGAAAAATGTCCGGATTCTCGGAGCACTTCTGGGTCGCATCGATGCAGCAATAGAGAACTCACCCTGATGGTCGCAAATGCCGTAGTAAATAAACAGCAGGATCTTCTATGGGATAGAGCTCTTTTGCCCAGCCGCTGAACTCATCATCGCCAGACTGACTCCCAAAACTATTCGCACTGTAGCAGGGTTGCTCCCGTCTACCCCCACCGACTCGGCTTGCGTGGAGCTTGGAGTTTTACCATTCAGGTACCAGGTGGCAGAAACACTAGCGTCGAGGACCATCAGTTTCCTAGAGAAAACAACCGGAACTGAAGAGATCTGCCTCCTCAGAGAGGGGAACAGACTTCTTGAGAACCTGGCCCATCAGAAACTCCCCCCAGTGTCAGAAGTCCACTGGAACGGAGCCAGGAGATGGGAGGTCCCTCCACTTTGCGTCGATTTCTCTGTAGCCTGGCGCTTTAAAGCGGAGATGCGCGCTTACGTCGCCAAAATCCTAGGGACTAAGTATCACGATTACCATCACCGATACACGGACGGCTCTAAAGCTAGAGGAAAAGTAGGATTTGAAATCGCAGACCCTACTGAGAGCCGTTTTTTCCGGCTCCCTGACCAATGCTCCGTTTTCTCCACGCTGTTACTATAAGCGCCAACAAACCCATTTTCATCTTATCAGACTCGGCCAGTGCTCTTTCTGCCCTAGAATCCCAGTTCCCAAGGTATCCATGGATCCAGGGGATCCAAAAACTATCACCACCCAACACAATTTTCCTCTGGGTACCGGGTCACTGCGACATTAGAGGTAATTGTGAAGCAGATCATCTGGCAGCTACCGGCCGCTCTGGCCGACTGTTCAGTAAAGAGTTCCCTGGTCCCGACATTAAGCGATGGGTCAGGTTCATTATCCACAACGCCTGGAACCTTGAGTGGGCTTCCACAAGGCAATATTTTACTCGGAAGGTGAAAGGAGAGACTTATAAATGGCAGGACACCCCACATCGACAAGACCAGATTATCTTGTCTCGTCTCCGTTCCGGGCACACACGTGCAACTCACAACATGGGCTGCTCCTCCAATTCCTGGAAAACTTTTGACATTTGCAACCTTACCATGACAGTGGAACACATTTTGGTAGATTGCCCAGTGTTCAGCAATATAAGAAGTCTCTACGGTATACCGAATAGCATAAGAAACGCCCTATCGAATGACCCATCAACCGAAGCAGCAGTCATCTGCTTCATTAAAGACGCCAATCTTTATGAAAGTATTTAAGCCCAAGGACTGACACAACCACCAACAACCCGCTATCGACACTGACTACCGACTACGACAAATTACTTCTACCTAAACTACGCCAGCAACTGTGACACTACTCAGCTATTATTTGTGTTCTATTGTTTGAACCTGAACTCCGAACACTGAAAAAAAAACTCTGTATTAGGGAAACCTCCTTCCGAGGCCCACTTTCTAGTCGGGGACCTCCTTCTGGGGCCCCAAATACCCAACTCTGTTATTTGCCCCCCCCCCCCCTCTTCTGGGGTTGCCAGAGATGAACCAGCCGATGGCTGAAAGTCTCTTTAATAAAGAAATATAAAAAGATAAGAGTATTTCAAAAAGAAGAAGAAATCAAAATTGATTACCCTTTGTGTAACCTTATAACCTGATAGAACAAACACAGCAAAAAACTAATTTTAATATCACATAAAAGTGAATGCACTTCAACCGTATCGAAAATATGGTATAATATTACTTGCCAAAAAGGACAAAATTATCATTAATACAGTGCATGAGCTGACATTACGCTGCTTTTACTACATTTGTTTATTGTTGTGGCCATAAAAATTACATGAGATTTTCAACATGATTGAAATGCATCCTCTTGGATGTAATATTTTTTTTTTTGCTGTTAATGTACCAGCTACGCACTGCACCGACAGTAGATAGAGTCCCATATATGAATGCTGGCCAAAGTAACTAAGGTTGTTGATTGACAAACAAGCTATGTAGCATTTTCAGGTCAAAGAGCAAACAACAAAACAAAATTAGACTCGACCTTCTCCGATTTGCATTTTTCATGTTATGGTCAATCATCCACATTTGAGCTAAAATTCGGCCATTTTGAATTACGCAAAACATTTCAAAATGGCGAATTCAATGTTTTTCAACAAATATTTTCTCGAAAACGTGGCGTTCAATCAAATGACGTCTGAAACAAAGTTGAATAAAAAAATAATTCCTTTTCATGAAAATATACACGGTAACAAAATTAAAGTCATTTTGGGTAAAAAATCAAAAAGTGTTAAAAACTTACATATCCAAAAATGGCCCTCTTCAATGTTTATTATTATTGCTCAATAAAAAGCTTATGAAAAATGCTATCTTCTGAAACAGTTTCAAGTTTAACACTCAAAAATTAATAAAAATCATAAAACAACAACTTTTGGTCATGTCTTCAAACTTTTTATTTATGCTTTTATTTGTAAATGTTTGCACAGAAAACGATTTTTCCAGTCTGAAAATGGTTTTCTGTGCAAAATTTCACAAAAAAAATTTAAAAAATTAAAAGTTTTGCTTAAAGTTGTCGTTTTACGATGTGTTAATTTTTAAGAGATTTCACAGAAAATATAATTTTTAGATTTTTTTTCATAAGTTTTAAATTAAAAATGTTTTACCCAAAATAACTAGAAATTTGTTACCGTAGGATATAGTTTTTTTTCCTAAAACTTTATCTCATACGTCATTTCGATTGGAAATTACGTTTTCGAGTTATGATTTGTTAGAGTACGGCAGTGTGAAAAATATATATGTAGAGTGAAAGCGAGAAAGGTTAATTTTAAGGAAGGCACGTATCGGGTTGATCATCTCTTATACCAAACTCCCCTGTTAGGGGGATACCCCTCACCATCTTTCCCCAACATGGGAGTTTGGTAAAGGAGATGATCAACCCGATTCGTGCCTTCCTCAAAATTAACCTTTCTCGCTTTCACTCTCTATATATATTTTTCACACTGCCGTACTCTAACGGAACTATCAGCTCTATATTTTCATCTCTTCATCTATCGTATAAAATCATCACTTTGTCTGATATTTGACGTTAAGCGTTTCTAACTATATATACATTATACAAAGTTTCTTGCAAATCGGAGAAGGTCTCGTTAGATCAATTCATCATTTGGCGTGGAACTGCTCTATACGGATACAAATATGTATCCCGTTCATAAATTGATTGGTCCCTATGTACAAATATGACAAATCACATGTAATCACGTACGTAAATTAGGGACACTTAGGCCGACATTACATACATTTCCCCTACCATATAAGTTTTTTTTTCAATAGATTGTAGCCTTTTTAGATGTTATAATGATATTTTGTCATCGTCAGACACAAGAAGAGGCTAAAAGGCAAGTATTTGACACATAAAACCTGTCAAATTCGCTTTCAGATAGTCACAATAAGCGATTTTACGACTCGCGAGCGCTCACTCTGAGTGAACGCTCACGAATCATAAAATCGCCGATTGTAACACTCTGGAATCGAAAGTGATAGGTAATATGTGTCAAAAACTTGCCTTTCAACCTCTTCCTGTATCTAACAAGGACAAAATATCATTATAACATGTAATGGCTTCAAAATTCAGAAAATCATCTTTTTATAGCAAGTGAGTGGAAGCAACCCTGATTGTAGGTATCGAAGCAACCGAAAAAAACATCATTAATTTCTATCGACATATGGTATTTGACCATTTTGACAAAGCTCACCGGAATAGACGGCGATCGGTTTAATTTGTCTTAATTAAAACTGTGCTGGACCATTTCTTTCATCCGATTTTCGTTTTAACGGCCCTCATTTCCTGTAAAGCATAAGCACGCACTGATGGAAAGTTGCGTAGCCGCTTATTTACATACCAAATACCATATCGATAGAGGGGTCATCATTTCCTCATTCTTTAGTTGTTATGTGGAACGATTAAAAAACATTGTGTTTTGGCGAGATGGTCTTATCAGGTCTAGCCTGTCGAAAGACAACACATATAAAACAAAAACATTGTAAATTCTTGCAAGATTAACATACGTTGTTTTGAAGTGTAAACAAATTTAAATTTTGATGTCACTGAACTGAAAGGTGCCACCACAAGCTACTACGATGCGCCGTTATATTTATACTGCACAACATTGCATTCACAGAAACTAGAAACGCACCAAAAATGCATCAAAAGGGAGCATGCAAAAATATCTGCGCGGTGAAAACGAGTCTTGTTTCAAAGAGCGCATACCGTCTGTATGAAATTGCACATAAAACAGAAAGGGAAAGTGGTTTTGGGTCAGCGCGGTTATCAAATTGTCAGGAAGAATGAATCGTTTTGGTTATACATTTTGACAATGACACTAAATTAGAATCGATTAACTTCGTAGTGCAGTGCTCTTGTATATAATTTTGAATACGCTACGAATCCCATGTTTAACGCCTTTTTTCAAACGAACGTGATTGTATCTAAGCAACCCTTCTAAATTGAGATAAATCGGCAAGTCACGCCTCCTTTTGTAATTACATACGGGGAAAAAAATACAATCCAGGGGTGAGAGTAAAAGACTCACCTTCCATAGTGCAATATGATCGGTTGTAGTTTCCAGTACGATCTGTCCATCATCGTCCACCAAGAACGGTCCATCCACCTCCGGTACGGTAAATGGCACGTGAACGTGGTACAAGTCTACATAGTCCAGCTGAAGATCCTTCAGTGAGCTTCGAAGGAATTTCTCCACCGTGCTGGCTCTTGTCCCTATGGAAGGTAGAAAAAAGAGAAACATGCATGCAATTATTTTTGACGTTCAAGACATGTTCAAAAAACCTCTCTTACCATGCGGTGGCAGTTTGGTTACAATGAACAACTCATCCCGGGTCACCTTCCCAGCATCTATCCACTCCTTCAACACCTTCCCGATGGTTTTCTCGTTGAGATATACCGGTGCCGTGTCAATATGGCGATAACCAGTTTCCAGTGCTTCGTTGAGTGCTTTCTCTACCTCTTCATCAGATGCCTACCAAATTAATAAAAGGTGAAAAGTTGAAAAGTTTAATCATTTTCTTTTTCTCACGACAGAGATAATTGCTAGTCAGCAAGCGACTTACTCACCCGCCAAGTGCCAAACCCAAGGGCTGGCATCGTTGTACCATTCTCGAAAGTTATGTCCATCTTGCAGGCCATATTGCACTTGACTTTCTTGAAACTGATGTCTCGGGATAGTTTAAAATTGTTTGCCAAACAAAGGTTACGCTGTGAACCCTACTTGACCGGAAACGTTGGTTCCGTTTTTCTTCAGCTTGGAGCTCGAACGAAAGTTGGACCGATCACCGCGCGTACTTTTAAGCGACTGGCAGCTTGCAGCGCGATCACAATCGGTGGGGCCTCATTCTTCCAGCTCATGACTTGTGTATGCATTATTTATTCACTGGGGAACCCGGCACCCCCGGCACATGTAAGTACACGCAAAACAAATTTCTCTTACGTTCAAGGTATCTGCATATGCAAAAATGTAAGACATTAATATGTTAAAATTTCTTTAATAAAATAATAATAATAATAATCCTCTGCATATGTTTCATACCACAAATGTAATGGCAGTTCTTACAATGGACTGCAGCGAACAAGCAAGTTTTTTTTCAGAATACATATTTTTGCATAAAACCTTCACGCAATGATTTTCTAGACGCAATGCATTTGGGGAAACAGACTTTGTTCGAAAAATAAACTTTCAAAAATTATTTTGAATACCTTCTGGCGACCACATTACAGAATATGTTCATGTCGTGAAACATTGCAAATTCTGCATACTCTTCATGCAAATCTGCAATTGAAACTTACATTTCCCGGTTGGGTGTAGGCAAGGTAGCGCGACAGAGCTGTAATGGTGAGTAGGGTGGCTACGTGATTAACGCTGATGTATCATGTTGTAAGTTAAATTCTAAATATTTGTACTTTGAATGCCGATAATAGTGCAAGTGCATACATTTTGGAGTCGTGATTTGTTCAAGATTGTTACATTAGCGGACCTCCCTTAATCTTATTTAATTTCACTAGTGGTTGTTGGTTGTATTGCAATGGTTATATTAATGACCAAACATTGTTCGAATGCCTTGCTTCTAACAACTTCTCAGCAACTATTCACTATTGAATACAGGTTCCTCGGGCTTCTCCGTTCATCCACTAGTATTTCCCCCCTGACGTTCACTCACGAAGCAAGCGTTGGCGTCTATAATGCGATCTAGAATATGTGTGGGATTTAAGTTTATTCCTATAGGTATATCATATTCAACAGGGTATGTACTATCAATATGCTTCAACCAGAGAAATACTTATAATGTAATAATTTCGTCTAAGTGGAGAGCTGATTTTTATAGGTAGGTAAATTGATCACTGGGGTGAAATTGATGCTGAACATAAGTTAGTTTTTTTGAAGATTTATTATTGCAAGGTGAGTCGTGAGTCAAAGGCACGTTTTACCAACGTTTATCAAAAGCTTGTTTCAAGATCATTTCAAGAGCCACATGTGAAAAGGGCATACAAGCTTTTTGTAAACAAACATTTGTAGGCCCTTTTCTCGCCAACCGAGGGTCGCCCACGCAAACCAGCAATGTCATCGGGAAGGGGAAAGTTTCCCCTACCCGGTGATATAAGAGATTTGCGTTGGTGTCATATGGGTGGCGAAAAAAGGGCATAAGAAGGTTTGTTTACAAAAAGCTTGTATGCCCTTTTCACATGTTGTGCTTGATTTATAGTTCTACATTAATATTAGCTTCTGTTTTGTTCCCACATTTAAAGTTGAAAATGAACATATTTTCCAAACATACACACTTACAAACTATTAGCGACTTCGGTAATTTTTTACCGATCATTCAACAGCCGGTTCAGAACGTTCGGTAAAGCTTTGACCCTCATTTCAAAAACTATTTCACTAAATTTTAATTTCAAACCAAACTTGTTTAAATAATCCAATCTTGCAATTGCGGGGAAGTTTTCCTTGTTTTTATGCTTTAAAACTAATGAATTGAAATGGGGGGAGGTAGCTCATCGATTCTTCCGGTTCGCCTCCTAGCATCGTGCTATCCAGCTTTCCATGCTCGGTAATGGCGGCCTGTTTGTATGAATAAATGTATCCTTCACTGTGCTTTTTGACACTATCTGGATGTTCGAATTTCAACCCCTTCCCTTTCCCTCTCCCAGGAACAGAAGAAAATGGAACAACATACGCCCTCCAGTTAGTGTCAAAAAGCACAGTGAAGGATACATTTATTCATACAAACAAGCCGCCATTACCGAGCATGGAAAGCTGGATAAGGTACCAGGCGATAACCAAGGTACACTGAAACAAAATCCATTGGCAAAAATACTATATTGATGGTTTAGATTAAATACCCTCACCAATAGATTTTTGCAGAAAATAATTTCATTTAATTTTACTATTATTTCTATCAAAATTACTATGCATTTTAAGCAAGCATAGTAGTTTTGCCAGAATCATAGTAAATTTGTTAACATTCATAGTCAACTATACTGAATTCATAGTAGATTCAACAGCAATAAGCGTGGTTATATTGATAATAAGTGTTTTCTGCAAAATAGTATTCCTAACTATGGTCCTTGTTTCAGTGTAGTTGATCGATAGCTCGATGACGTCATTTCGTTGGCGTCTGCAATGGGAAATTCTCATAGCATGCGTTGACGATGGGACGTTATCGAGTTGTTGAATAGCAACTATCGTGGTAACTCACCGATTACCTGTCGATCCGCCAAATTTGGAAAGACGTCTGCATTGAATTGTCTCATATAATAATATTCCGCCCACTATATTACAAGAAATTGCGAGTAGCTGAGTGGAATGGAGATAAGTTAAGCATTGGGTACAGGACCAAGTCTCCCCTGGGTGGTGCCAGAAGATGAGCGCAATAGAATCATTAAGTTGCCATAAGGCACGGAAAGAGACTATTGCATGGCTGGGTAGTCAAAGTCTTCCATTCATTTCAGGTGGATTAGAACAGGTTTAGGTTTAGGGTGGGCGTTGGCCAGATTTGGATTTTTTAGATATAATCCTAAATAGGACCTAGATTATTTAATACACTAGTAACCTCAACTTCTGTCACAATGTTTCATTGGTAAATTTAAAAAAAAGGAACTTAGAGTGTAGAGCGCACTGCCCTCTGGACGATTCTGAAGCCTGGCCAAGTGAGTGGGTTACGGGTTTATTTGATTGTACGTTATTTCCAAATTATATATACACAGCAAAAAAATAATTTTGATATCACGTCAAAGTGGATGCACTACAATCATGTCGAAAATATGGTGTAATATTACTTGCTAAAAAGGACAAAATTACCATTAATACAATGCATGAACTGACATTACGCTGCTTTTACTGCATTTGTTTATTTATGTGGTCATAAAAATTACATGAAATTTTCGACATGTAGTGCATCCACTTTGATGTGATATCAAAATTATTTTTTTGCTGTGTAGATACATTCATACCATTGGCATTTTGTATTTGAGATAAGACAGAGACAGGATGCGGAGGGCCCGCTTAGGGGGAGCGTAACCCATGTTATGGCTTCCATTTATTAAATAGTTCAGATAGGCTGGAAATGATAGGTTCATGGTGAGAAAATGTACCATATGATGCCCGTTCACTGATCAAAATTAGATTCAAATCGTCAGGCCCTGCCCTGGAATAAGGGGATTCACGATGATTTGTCAAGTTTCATTTTACATTTGCATATAATTGTAAGTTTAGGTTTGCTTTTGTAATTGTAAGATAAATAGTTTGCCTCAATTGAAACATTGAGTTGTATAAACTTGACGAATCATACCTCTAAAATAGTAGTAGTTACAGTGTCACATGATCTAACAACCACTGCCTGCAACTAATGTTGGAGGGGTCGGCAGGGCTGATTACGGATCAAAACTAACATAACTCTAACACTGAAATGATCCCGAAACTAACGCTCATTCATTGCACTTTGAGTCATAAAGTAGTTTTATTTACTTTGACTAGGGGAATTTACGTATTCTCGGCAACCTAACCAGCGACCTTCTTTCTATAGCCTTTTTCTCTATGGAACGCACACATATGCAGGTTTGGTTTGTTTACAATCTTTTGCTGCCAGCTGCTCTAACAATTTTAGTCGAAAGAATTGTCAAAAACTGTTTTGAAACGCTTTTACAAAGCTCCAATCTTCTCTAGTGAGAGCGAGTATTGTCGGCAACCAGTTTTTCTTCGGCAACCGTTCCATTTGAACTGCATGTAAATCTGCTGTTCTATTATCGGCAACTCGAAATCAGCTATAATTTGTAGTGCGTGTGTTGCATTTCAAGAAAACCTTGCTAGATTGCTTTTTCTCAGTGGTAAAAATATAGTCCAATTGAAGCTGAAAGCATAAAGAATCGTTTGCATGCATTCAGCGAAGTGTTTTCGTAAGAAAATCCAGTGTAAATAGTGTTTCAATTTGTGTTGCCGAAAATAGTCTGTCATGCCGAAGCCGTCATTTCCCCTATATGTTTTAGTATTACTTCTACGTGAAGTCAACGATTTACATAGCTGAAGATGCTAATTTCAAATAACAGACTGTAGTGGTAATTTTTATACGATAGATGGAGTAGATGAAAGCATAGAGTTGATAGTTCCGTTAGAGTACGGCAGTGTGATGATTCCGGGGGGGGGGGGGGGGACACCCCTCACCATCCCTCTCCAAAGGGGGAGTTTGGTAAAGAGAGATGAAAAAACTGATTTGTACCTTCCTTAAAAGTTGTCCTAGCTCGCTATTCTAATATCTATATGCAATCTTCACACTGCCGTACTCTAACGGAACTATCAACTCTATGCTTTCATCTACTCCATCTATCGTATAAAAATTACCACTACAGTCTGTTATTTGAAATTAGCATCTTCAACTATAGTTTTATTTATTTTCCTACTAATCTATCTACACACTTAGTTTTTTCTACCGAGCTCGGCTGTGCGGGTCTCGGCGGGGAGGGTTTCACTGAGATCTCGGCGGGAGTGACATTTGATTGCTGAGTCTCGGATAATGCTTTTTCTAATAATCTGCCTACGTGTCTTTTCTTTGTTATCTACTTTTTCCCCTTTTTATTTTTCTGCTCTTCTTTCCTCTTCTCTTCTTTTGTTTTGTTTGTTTACATATAACTAATACTAATACCTCCTTGTTTTCCCTCTAATTTGTCTACTATG